TTCAGTATCTATTGCATCCTTTCAATTTTTTCAATCATGTCTATTTTGACATTCATTCATAGTTCTTGGTTCAGGATCATCATTTTCATTCATAATTTCACATGCAATGGAGAATGAAAATATTTCATCTATATTTATATCTTTTCAGTTCCACAAAGTTCCAGTATCAACATAATTAATTGAAATTTCAAGATCATTCTTATTTTGATTTTGATTATATATGATCTCATTATCATCATATTGTGCTTCACTGAGAGCACGCTTTTCTATTGTGGTTTATTATTATCTAGTGTCTTTTCAAGATCACTTTAAACCATATTCACCTTTTATATCCCTTTTCTTTTTTGGGAATGTTTGTCTTTGGATCCCATAGGCCGGCCACGCTTCAAGTGTTCCTTAGATGTACTTGCTACATAACTTAGATTTGAAATCTCAATCCGAGCAGAGACATTTATAGCTGGTATGTGTAGCTTTGTCACTTTTTTCAAATCAGTAAAAGAATCTGAAAATTGATTTTCTAAATCTTGTAAGTGCAGAATTTTCTTTACATTTTCTTCCCATGATTTATTATATGGGTCTAAATGTAATAAATAGGGTACATACCATGTTATCTCATTTTCTATTTTTTTTTTTAATTTTCTCCCCTTAGTGTTGGAAATTTTGTTTCGTCAAAATGACAATCAGCAAATCTTGCCTGAAAAACATCATCGGTTAAAGGTTCAAGATATCTAATAATAGAAGGTGATTCATACCCCCACATATATTTCAAACCTCCTTTGAGGTCCATTCTTTGTTCTATGTGGTGGTCACAACCAAATATCTTTAAATGAGAAATATTTGGTTCCTTACCAATTGCAAGTTGATAAGGTGTATATTTATTATTAGCACTTGGCCTTAGACGGACGAGTGTTGCAGCATGTAAAATTGCATGACCCCAAATGGTAACTGGTAGTTTAGTTTTCATAATTATAACAATATATTGAAGACGTTTGATTAAAGACTCGGCTAAACCATTTTGTGTATGCACATGAGGAACAGGATGTTCAATAGTAATTCCAATTGGCATGCAATAATTATTAAATGATTCAGATGTAAATTTACCAGCATTGTCAAGTGTAATTTTCTTTATACTGTAATCATGAAATTGAGCTCTCAGTTTAATTATTTGTGCAAGAAATTTTGCAAATGCCATATCACGACTTGACAGTAAACATACATATGATCATCTACTAGATGCATCAATTAATACCATAAAGTACTTGAATGGTCCTGACGCTCGATGGATAGGTCCACATATATCACCTTGAATTCTTTCAAGAAATGCAGGTGATGCTGTCTGAACCTTACATGGCAAATGTTTTATTATTAGCTTGCCAAGAGAGCAAGCTTCACATGGTTTATCTCTTTTTGTAAGTTTTAAATCTTTCAATGGATGATCATGGGTACTTTCAACTATTTTATGCATCATTGTTGAACCAGGGTGACCTAAACGATCATGCCATAAAGTCGTCATTTTGGGATCTTCTTTTACTACTAAATTAAATTCAATTGCATGTATATAAGTATAATGTAATCCAGAAGATAATTTTACCTTCAGCTTCAGTTTCAGTATCATATCCTTAACGATATATGTCATTAAAACTCAACAAATTTCTCTTTGATTTTGGAGAGTATAAAGCATTATTAATGATAAACTTTGTTCCATTTGGTAATATGAACATAGCATTACATGTTCTCTCAATCAAATCTGCAGGACCTGAGATTGTATTTATTACACCTTTAGTAGGATTTATTTCAGTGAAATATTTCTTACATTTGAGGATTGTGTGGGTAGTTTCACTGTCTGGATCGCAAATGTCTTCAACATGTTCCATGTCTAACCTTCTTGAAATAGAAATAAAATTAAATAGAGAGTAAATCAACACAACATATTTAACATTATTATTTCAAACATTGGATACACTAAACAACATACAAATACTTAAGTTTGTATATAGTTCAAATATAAAATTAATACAAGCATATCACATATTATTCAAAAAGTTTCTTAATTCATTGTTCCTTCAACAAAATCAACAACCTCAAGACATGTAGTATCATTTTTGAGTTCAATTTCATTAAAATTTACTTCCTTCCCCTTTCTATCTATAGATGCCTTGTTTCTTTTACACAAATTCTCTGGTGTTCTACACGTCTTAGACCAATGACCTTTTTTTCAGCGTCTATAACACAAACCATCATGATTCCTCGAGGGACTCTACCTTGACGATACCTGTTAGTTTGGTCATATCTAGGAAATCTATAATTATTCACATAACTTCGTCCACGACCTCAACCACGAAAGTGATTTCGACCGTGATATCCACCTCAACTAGGACCCTCAAAATGAGCATAACCTTCACGTTTTTTATTACGATTATAGCCGCCACGCTTTTGATTAAATATTGTGACATTCATCCCAGGATATGCTATTGTTCCTGTGGAACGTGACTGATGGTTTTTGATAAGGAGCTCATTATTTTGTTCTGCTATTAGAAGGGCTGCAACTAAGTCAGAATACTCAGAAAATCCCTCTTTTCTGTATTGTTGTTGCAACAAAACTTGGGATGCATAAAAAGTTGAAAAAGTTTTTTTCAATTTTTCTTCTTGAGATATAACTTTGCTACAAAATTTAATTGTGCTATAATTTGGTGCATGACAGGGTTATATGCAACAATACTTTTATAATTTTGGAATCTTAATTTGTTCCACTGATCCATTAATGAGGGTAACAAGACTTTTCTCTGATGTCCAAATCTTGCCTTAAGTTTGTCCCACAAAATCTTGGGATCTTTTGCATATGAATATTCTGTTCGTAAACCATCGTCAAGGTGGTGTTTGATTATTCGATTTACTTTTGATTTTTTTCATTCCATCTCTTCTGGGTCAACAACTGACTTTCCTGAAATTTCTCCTTCAAGAATTTTATCAAGTCCTTCACAAGCAAGATACTCTATTAAGTTGTTATTCCATGTTATGTAGTTGTCCCCAGTTATGCTTAAAAATTTGAAGTGGTGCTTAACATTTGACATATTTCTATCTAGATTTCAAAAGATCATAATCAAAATTTAATACATAAACAAAAAATATATGTCAATTTATTCAATAACAACTATTACAAAAACCATGATCATGTTTTATTCAAAAACTTCTATTAATAAACCAAGTTAAGACTAGTAATGGTAAAACAATCAATATCATTAACGCTACATAATCTTTACCTAGTTCATCATGCTTGATAATACCGATGAGGAATAAAATAATGACAAGTAGATGGATGAACAAAAGAAAATATTTAGCCATTTGAAAGATATGGATAACTTTTTTAGAATGATATGGAATTTGTGAAAGAAGTTGAATTATATATAGATAAATTTGTAAAACGGCCGTTATAGTTACCGTTTGGAAAAGAAAAGATAAAAAAGTAAAAAGAAAAAAAATATATCATCAAATCAAATTTAAAGTGTGTTAAATATCAATTAGCTATTACAAGAGTTTAGAGATAATTATAAGGTAACATGTGGGGTTTTAGACCTCCACTAAAAATATAAAAGATAGTAACTGAATATAAAAGTTAATAACAAAATATAAAAGTTAAGAATTGAATATAAAAGTTAGTAACTACATGTAAGGCTTTAAACCTCCATTGAATATAAAAGTTAGTAATTGAATATAAAAGTTATTAGCAAAATATAAAAATTAAGAATTGAATATAAAAGTTAGTAAATGCATACATGACTTTAAACCTTCATTAATATAAAAGTTAATAACGGGATAAAAAAGTTTATAAAAAAAATATAAAAGTTAGTAACTGAATATATAAAAGTTAATATCTGCATTTGGACTTTAAATCTCCATTAAATATAAAAATTAGTGTCAGAATATAAAAGTTAGTAATTGCATATCGAGTTTTAAACCTCCACACAATATATAACACACTTATTATAGAGAATTTGACAAGTTGTCAATTTTCTATAGCAAGGGGGTAAAATAAAAATAACGATAAAAATCATTCTAGTTATAAATCACTTGACTAATTGTCAGTTTTTCATAACCATAGTAAATAATAAAAATTATAGCAATAATAAGATTAAAGTGATAAGTTTAAAAAATATACCTAGTGTAGTAATAACTTCCGATAAAAACGATCATGATGATAACGTATTGAGAAAAATCAATTTTAAATATTCATTAATATTTATGAACTAATATAAATTACTAAACTAGTTGTAACTATTGAACTTAGATGGAAACATTGAAGAAAGAAAAATGTTTTATTTGTGCTTTCAAAGTAAAAAATTTACATTGGCCAAAGATAATATTTATACTACTAGAAATGCAACTATTACACTAATGTAATAATTAAACTTACTATTTTAACTTTGATAAATTATGTATCTATAATAATTTGTCATTATTATTTAGACAAATATTTCTAAATAATAATATTATAACAAATTCTTCCCATTATGATAAAAGGACAAATTGACCATTAGATAGATGTAGAGATAGGAATTTGTTTGAGTACTTCCCAAACAAGCCAATGCACTGTCGCGATCCGGCATTTACTGAACCAACAACCAAGCTCTATTCGTAAAATGACAACTTCTGAAAATGATCCATATGTTATACAGAACTGATACGTCTCAATGTAAACACAACAACTAAATACTCAATGTAAACACAACAACTAAATTTTATTGAAATCAATACAAACAAAATGTTTCTTAGACAGATCACTAATCTAGTTTGACTCAACATAAATAAACACAATAATGCCTGGGAAATAGTTTGATAGGCTTTATTCCATAGGAGAGTCAATTTTATAATGACTACATAAGCGTCATAATACGAAAGAATAACATGACAAAACTCCACCCTTACACTGCCTAACTCTCTAATAAAGTTCACAATACATGAATCTGTGGCTATGTGCCCTACAAGCAATAATAAAATTGATATTACTCAGCTCTGGATTGGCCAGCACGGGAAGAGAGGATGATGCCAACAATGAGACCATACAATGCCAATGCCTCAGCAAAGATGAGAATGAGAATCATACCGACAAAAAGCTTTGGCTGTTGGGCATTTGCTCTGCAAAAACAGTTCATTTTCAGGAGTTAAATTCAATACTGTGAAATGAAACCTAAACAATCTCTCTGAACATAGCATCACAGTATATCTAAAGCAGTAGCAGCAACAGGTATAGTGATACTGATTTATCATTTAAATGATCTTGGGGCTTGTAATTTTATCAATAACAGACTAACACGGACTTGTACACCAGAATCGTACAAAGAAATAAATAAGGTCAAATAGCTGCTTAGTCATTATATATTTTTACAAACATATATAAGAAACTCAATATTAATGCTATTTCTGCCTATAAATGATGTGTTTTATCTTAAACCAGAGTAACTAGAACTAGGTATGAATATCCATGTTACTCTATTTGGATTTGGACACCCCATTATACCCCAAGTACCTAACATAGCACAACCCCCTGAGAGCTAACGTACCGATAACTACACTCTACATTGCTTTACTTGGCCTTTCCAATCAATGAATCAATCCCTCCATAGGAAGTCCTTTTGGAGCCACCGGAAATCAGCTGTAATGAATGTTGTTAAATAGCAGGTATAGTGGTGTTCACCACCACTGCGTAGCAGAATTTGGACAAAAACCGCTATTATTTTGCAATACATTATTTAGTACAAAATGATGTTAAATAGCCGCTATAGAGGGGCACTATAACACCACTGTATAGCAGAATTTTAACGATCTGTTGTTTTCCGCAATGTTCAATTGACAATATTGGCTCTAATACCAATGGGTAGATATCAAAGATCTTGGGGACTCTTAGAAGCTACTATAAGGGGGAAGAACTAAGCCACTTAAAACACTTCATCAAACATCCCATACTACTGGGCACCCCATAATACCCAAGTACTATCACATTCATACTGCTGAAATTGGGCTACTTCAACATGTTGAGTTTTCACATATGCATGGTAGATAATTTACTAAATTACAAGAAAAATAAAAACCAATACAAAAAAAACAAAGCAGTGGCAATTTGATTTGTGAGAAAAGATCATTCATCATTAGAATTACCAAAACTGAAAAACATGGAGAATGCTGAAAAGATTAAAACCCAATTAAGATTACCTTCGACCTCATGTCTGAGCTTTTAAACTCAAATAGATATCAAAGTAACATTAGAGAGTTCAAGAAAAAGTGTATTATAAGCTAATTTCAACAAAATGTTGGAAGTTATTACTTACAAAACTTATAGATGTAACTTGGATAAACTTTTAGCAACTACTTATACAAAAACAACCAAGTATTATCCCACTAAGTGGGGTCCATAATGTTCTATCAAGGACCATGCTTTTATCGAAATTGTTAATCCCAAGATCTTTCTTAACAACTACTTATATGAAAATAAAATTTAAATAATCCTACTATGATTTAGAGTCTTCTAACTAGTAAGTTTTTTCACAAACTAGCAATGATCTTCTACATCTAAACTCGCAATATATTCAAAAGCCCACTCATCTAATTTCCCCATTACCACCTATAAATTTATAAGGGCTTCTTTCATTAGATATCAGAATCCAATACTTCTCTCAATCAAAAAGCCCCGGTATGTTACAAATTATCCAACTTGAATGATGCCAATAACAAAATCATCTCAATTTTTTTTCTTCAAGAGTGTTAAAAAGTTCATCCAAACTGGCTCTAATAAGCATGGCCTTTATGCACATTGTAGCAGAATAACAAATGATCTCTATCCATGAGAGGAGAAGACGGCAACACCACTAGTGACACAACCAAGAAAATAATTACAAGAGTGTGCATTTTATCTTACTCAACCACATAACAGATATACATTAAGTTTATCTAAAGTCCACAATATCAATTGAGAAAATCAACAATCGATATTGCATGTAAACTGATTTTTCTTGTTTTATTAGCTACTAAATTTAAAAGATTTGACACTATGAATTGACACTATGTCTAAATGTCCAATACCAACACGATTCTTACACAATTAAATACATTCAATAAATTATATATTCTCGTACTATTAACATTGTCTACCCGTGCGTCTGTGTCAGTGATTTATAGTATATATCATATCAAAGAAGAAAACAAAAATTAAGGACAAAGTAAATCAATAAAGACAATCAATCAGTTAGGAAATTGAGAGAAACATGAATACACAATTATTCAGAATCAAATCAAAATAGAACATTAACAAAGGCATAGAGAGAGATGTAAAAACCTAACACCAGCATCACCAACAATGCCAATAGCCATGCCAGCAGACAAACCAGCAAGACCACAAGCGAGCCCAGAAGAAAGATGAGCATAACCATCAAACAGATAATAAGATTTCGCCTTAGGGTTAATGCCGGTACTAATAATAACAGCGATAATCAAACCATAAATACCCAAAACACCGGCCATAACAACAGGCACGATCGATTTCATGACAAGTTCAGGTCTCATCACACCCATCGACGCTACACCAACACCGCTCTTCGCAGTTCCATAAGCCGCTCCCATACCTACGTTAAATTGAAACTCAATTTCGCATCGGAATTCGATTAGAATAATTGATAATTGATTGAAGAGGAAAATAATAGGGGCTTACATGAGAAAACTAGGGCAGCGGCGGCGCCGAGGAAGCCGAAGAAAGGAGCAGTTTCATCGCCGCTGAAACCAGCCATTATTTGTTTTACGAATATGTGATGAAGATGATGGAGGTGATAGTAGAGAGGTTATAGATCTATTATTATTATTTATGGATTTTTGTTTTTAGTTTTATTTGTTTTGGATTGGACCAAAGGAAGTTTCTTGAGTGGTCACCCGCTATGTTTGTTATCACATACACCGCGTCTCGTTATATTCCGTCTTTTTTAAATCTATAAAAATAAGGTTTCGGCTAATATAACATTGTTTAAGGAGAATTAATATAGCTAGGGTGAATTAATATAGCTAGGGTTTCACCCGTTTAATTTTGAAATAAACAACTTTTAAGTTTAATAATTAAAATATTAAAGATTTACACTGCTGTCATATTTAAATATGGGAGAATAGTAGTGTATACCACACGTTTCAATTTTAGTTAACAATTTATTGTTATTCATTTCACAATAAAATAGATGGGATCATAGTTAATTTAATTCTCCTTAACCAGTGCTCTGATGGCACTTGATAGCATTTTCCAAAAAATAAAGGAAAAAAAATGTGTCCATATTAAATTATTTATGAGATAAACTTACTCCAAATAATTTTTTTTAATTTTTTTAAAATTATATTCTTTAAATTTTATATAATATTATTAGATTCAATTTAGAATAAGTTAAAAAAAAGTTATTTTTGAAGTAAGTTTATCCTTAAATTATTATACATTTTAAAATTATTATATGTTTTAATATTCTTTTATAATTCAAAAATATTTTTTTAAAAAACTCATTTTATGTTAATAATTTAAGAGAAAATTACAATCACATATCCTGATGTTTGTTAAAAGGAACATTTCCTCTAGTTTTAAAATATGCATAATTTTTTCTTAAATTTATATATTACAACGAACATTTTTAATTTTTAATGACAAACAACAAAATCGTGAATTTTTTTTAACTAGCCATTTATTGCAAACAAATTACCAATTAAACGAGAGTTTTAAAAAATTTATCAAAGTAGCAACATCTTCAACAGACAGTCACCAGATGGATTGGCGAATGAGGCAAAAATTGAATTGGGCTTGTAACCAATTCGCCAGACGGATTGGCGAATGAGGCAAAAATTGAATTGGGCTTGTAACCAATTCGCCAGACGAATTGGCGAATGAGGCAAAAACTGAATTGGGATTGTAACCAATTCGCTAGACGGGTTGGCGAAACAGGTATAATGGGATTTGGGCCGTAACAAAGTCGTCAATCCATTGGGCGAAATAGACAATTTTTAGGGTTTTGATTTTTCCTTTATTTTTTTATTATGTTTTTAATTTCAATTAATGTTAAAATAAAGTTTTTTATATTTTAAATTAGTAATACTTTTTAAATATAATTATTAATAATAAATTTAAAATAATTAGGTTTAACGTTAAAATTAATTTATTAATTAATAAACTTTAAATAATTAGGTTTAATGTTAAAATTAATTTTTAATTAATAAATTTTAAATAATTAGGTTTAGATTTTAAACCTAATTAAATAAATTTATGTTGATCTCAAATTAATTTATAATTTTAAAACATAAAAATTGAGTGTTCATTGAAGTTTAAATAATGTAAATTTTGTAAGGGTGTTTAAGTCATATCATATGGGGTACGTACCATTTTTTTTACTATAAATACGACTGCAAACACATGTATGTTTTCACAACATTGTATCCCAAAAGACTGAAGCTTTAGTGCATTTTGAGTTGAGTGGAGCCTAGAATGTCTGCATTTCTAAATCAACGTTCATCATCGTCGTCATCATCAGCTTCGGAGGAACCGTTTCTAGAGTTCGATATAATGAAAAGAAACGTCGTAGTTGTGTTTTCAGCAACAAAGCCTCCAATGAAGGTGCTCTTCTGGAATACGCAGACGTTGGAGCACTTGCACAGGGAACTGAACCGCTGGCTAGAAGGAGACATTGGTCCAGGAGAATAGATTAGGAAAATCGAGAGGCTGGTCGAGGAGACCGGGAGAAACGGAGTGACTCGTGAATGGAGAAAAGTGGAAAATGATATCGGTGTCCTTGTGATGATGTTGACACCAAAGAAGATAAAGTTGATGGTCGTGATATCGTAGACGCTTTGGTGTAGTGTTCTGTTTTAAGTCTTTACGTTGTTGTTATGTTTGTTTAATTTATGTTGCCTTCGCGCAGTGTTCTGTTGTCATGTTGTTGTTGTGTCAGTTTACTATGCTTTTAATTGACTGAAACCTAGTATTATTCGAATGAAATTTGCTATTAATCTTATAAAAGTTGCTATTAATCGAATGGAATTTGATATTGATTTAACGGGACAAGATTACATATGAAACTATGATTTGCTGCTTGATCCTATGTTAGGACATTTTGTTCGATTGTGTCCTGGTTGCCGACACGAACTACACAATCTCACCAGCTTGTCTGCGGTATCCATCTCAATTCGAATGCGCGTGTTGTTAGGCCGACCCTTCTTCTGTCTGCGCATCAAGTCATTATGCCAAACAATTTCACCTTCGTATTGAGGCCAATAGTCCTCATTTGCCACCACTTGAAAGCTGCATGTATAGACATTGCATAGACTAATGACTTGGTAAGCTGCAGAAAGAAGGTTGGCTGGGTCCTGGCGCAACTTGGAACATGCTGCTATGACATGAGAGCATGGCATACGAAATGCTTGAAACTTTCCACAATCACACCAGCTTTTATCCAATTCAACACGGTAACATCCCCTAGGCCTTCCTTCGTTGTGATCCATAGACTCGGCAACACTGAACCAACCAGTTGTACGGTCAAAGATTGTGACCACGTGTGTGTTGGCTTTGGCAGCTTCCTCTTTCATGAATTTCATTGAAGTATCGCTATACAGCTGGCTCAATTGTAATACTGAACCCCACTTCGTACGTCTGCTATCAAAGAGTGATCCTAGCCTAAAATAGGTTGCCTTTACCAAGGCAGTTATTGGGAGGTTTCGGATTCCCTTGAAAACATAATTCATTGATTCGACGAGGTTAGTTGTCATGTGGCCCCGTCTCACCCCATTATCGTATGTCCGCGTCCATTTCTCCTGATCAATGTTATCAATCCATCGTAATGCAGCTGCGTTTGTTAGTCTGATCTCGTCACGGTAGTATTTGAATGTGGGTTCAGTCAGTGCATATCCTGCGTTCACAACCTTCTTCCGTAGGGTCTTGTCTTTGATTTCACGCATGAAACTTTGGGCAACGTGCCTTATGCAAAAGACGTGGGTAGATGGAGGATCCTGCCAACCGTTGTCATGGTTGTTGTATGCACTCTCTATTGATGCGTGTCGACCAGAGATCAAACATAAGTTAGGTTATGGAGACACGTATGAGCGGAGGTTTTTTAAGAAAAAACTCCAACCCCCAGTAGTCTCCCCTTCCACTATAGCGAAGGCTATTGGAAAAATATTGTTGTTCACGTCCTGTGCCACAGCCATGAGAAGTGTGCCCTTATATTTTTCGTATAACCATGTTCCGTCAATTTGAATTATAGGCTTACAATATGCAAACCCTTTGATGCATGGTTCGAACGCCCAAAATACTCTGTGAAAAATTCCATTTCCAGCAACGCAAGTCCCGTCTGCTGTACATGCAGGCAGTGTCTCCAAAACCGCAACAGTTCCCGGAGAGTAGTGTTTAAGAGCCACCAGGAATTTCGAAAGTTCCTTGTACGACTCCTCCCAATTTCCAAACACCCTTTCAACCGCTTTAGTTTTGACAATCCGGGCTTTTCGGTACGAAGGAGTGTAATTGTACCTTTGAGCCATATGTGAAATTATGGTACTGACCTTCAAAGACGGGTCTTCGCTAACGAGTGACAGAATCTCATCGCAAAACAATTGAGAGCTGAGTTTATGATGGTCTTGCATCGGATTAGAGATGATACAACTGTGGGACAAGCCTATGGACCCTATCTTTTAGGAATCGCTTCTCTTTCTGAAAGACGCTGTTAATCGGAAGTGGCACTCCTTGTTACGACAATAGATCGTATACCGCGTCGGATTTGTCTGATCGACTCTATAATCGGCAGACAACCCCATGTGAAACCGTTTGATTGCCCGGACACAGTCTTCTTTCGTACGAAACTCGTCACCCTCCTTTAGTTGCCCTTCTGTTGCGTAGTTGGGATCGTAGAAAACATCCGTCGAGGGTTCATCATCACCCAAGTCGAGAGTTGTCATGTGTTGAGGTAGACAATAAACATTGTCGGGTGGAACCTCATCGTCCTGGTTGTTCACCATATCGTCAACAATGACTTCAGTTGCTTCTTCTTCTTTGTCAACAACATTAACTTCAGCGTGTTCATCGTCAGAATCGCAAAAAACTTAAGAAGAATCAAGTTGTTGAGACAGTTGTTGCTGTTGTAACGTAACATATAACACGATGTCTGAGAAACCAGAATTCCTGTACTTTTTATGGTTGTGCTTATCTTCTGCAAGCGTGGGGTTGGTCTAGGATGCCAATGCTTGCTCCAATAAACAGGAATTCTTTTACGTTCCCGTACGCCAACAAGTAAGTATCTTTTCAAGATTATTTAGCAGCTACATATTCTTTTTCAGTTAATAATTTCTGAGATGTGTTTATTTTTTTAGGTGGTCTGTTCCAGGGATGAATTATTAGAGATGTCCAAGGCACTCTATAATTCAATACCGCGACCTAATTGACCACCTTGGGCCAGATGATGTAAGTTATTTACCATTAATTTTTTTAATGTATATGCATAAACCTCTCAAACTCTGTCTAACTTAATTGTCCAACTTTATTGTAGTTTGTCTGGATGCCGTACGAGAGTCTCGACCACCAGCCCAACCCCGATGATGTCGTTGTGTGGATATCAAAGACATCCATAATTAGGTTCACTACGGTGGAGATGCACCAAAGTGACCGGGTGAAACTACAATTTAGGATGCATCAGGATATTCCAGATGCTCCAGTCGACTTGGGGCAGTGGCATCAAAAGCGGGTGGACGCACAGTGGAGTGTTAGTGATTGAAAGGAGTTTGC